CCATGCGGGAGGCATGCAGCATATGCCCCGCATGTGCGCCGAAGCCAACGGCAAAAAGAAGAGGAAAAGACGTGGCAGCTTTTTTTCTGGGAGTGGGGCCTGGGTGAAAACCAGAAAAGACATGAGTTTTTTTTCCGTGTGGGGCCTGGGCTTTGGGCCTATTTTTGTCGCTGGTTGCTCGGAATCGGCTTTTTAAAGAAGCTGCGGCCTTTGTATCGAGTTTTTCCGTGGGACCCTCAAAGCCAAGGGAAGCTGACGATCCAGAGCTCCTGGACGTACAGTAGCGCCGTCAAAGGATTCCCTGTTTTGGGCATAACAAAGCCCGAGGCCTTCGGGAGCCAACGCGCAGCTCATCATGTTGTTTTGAGAGCGACTGTGGTTGGAGGAAATCCATTTCGCACCACCTAAGAAACGCTGGTTTCTCATGATTCCCTTGTAAATACCAACAAACAATGGTTTCCCTTCTGGCTGTCGGGTGGGCTATTCTGCCTGGGCGCGCCAGGCCTTTGAACTGGCGCAGCAGGGGGACTTCCGGGCAGCACTGGATCGCACTCCGCGCTCCTGTTTGCAAGAGTTCCTGGCGCCTGGGTCTGCCAAAAAAAATGCGGATGCTTGATGCGGATGCGGCAGGTTCAACCAACAAAGCAAAGCAAACAGATGGTTCATATATCTGCAGCTGCCAAGTGCATGCAGCTGCAGCGTACATGCTCGATCGTGGCAGTGGCGTGGGAGGCAGTGGAACAACTTGAGCAAAGAGAGCAATGCCGTGTTTCCGACCCATTGCCCTTGTTGGATCTCAAAAAGTGTCGCAAATCCAGAAATCCATCCAGGGGGTCACCATCAAACTGCCCAAACCTATCAGCCCACCAAAGCAAGCACTTCTTCTGCCTGCCCAGGCGGCATGCGCAGATTTGTCCGTTTGTGTCCCACAACCAGCTGGCCGATCCCGATATCCTGCAGCCAACAGCGCCGTACGTAGCCATTATCCTGCATGCACACAAACATGCCAAGCCGCAACATACATTACACAGCACATAAGACACACACACACACAGAGAGCAAATGCACACACGCGAGCACACACGCAAGCACACACGCAAGCACACACACACACAAGATGCACGAAGCACAAAAGCACACCACAGTTCTAGCCACAACCACATACGCACATGCGCGCGCGAGCACACACACACACACACACACACACACACACACACACACACACACACACACACACGCAAACATGCACTCAAACGTACATTGCTTGTTTGCATTTGCTGCATGCAAGAGAGCAAGCCTTTACACACAAACATCACAAACCAATTAGCACAGAGTAAGATAATTATACATGTGATCTCTGAGGTGTGTAACCTGTACACGATGCGGTGGTTTCCTTTCTTCGCTCTCTTGGTTTTCGAGGTGCTCCAGCACCTGGCGGAGAGCCCGGGGGATTTTGCCGGGGCCCTGAAGTGCGTGCCGCGGCATCTGCGGCTGCTGTGGTGCCGCGCTTTGGGCTCGCAGATCTGGAACCAGGTGCTGTCCCTGCGCATCCAGGCAGCCGGGAGGGAGTTCTCCCGGTTTTTGTGTCTCCAGACTTTTCCCATGCCTTCTTTCAAAGACTCTTCCACAGAATATTCACATATCATCTCACACAAAGCATGCTTCTTTTTCCTCCCCCCTTTACCAGGTAGAGGGGATGCAGGCGCTGTCCGAATTTCTGTGCGGGTTTCAGGTTCATTCAGTTTTCTCGAGGTACGGCGTGTCCGAGCCATTTTCTCTTGGGAAGCTGCACCTGGGTGGCGATGGTTTCCCTAGGGAAATCGCAGGTAAACATGGGTCAACTTTTGATTTGGGGAAATGTTGGAATTCCAGTGAGCTATTGTACTTAGGCTTAACCTAGTGAAGGGTGGACATTACGGATGATAGAGGCCCCCAAGCCTCGCATCTTGGGGACTGGCCAGCACTTCGTCATCCCGAGGGACAATCTTAACATGTAAGGGGCGGCTTGCTGGGTGCTGCATGAAAGTCACAAGGGGGTAATTTGTCCAGCGCCTATTTGGGAGTGAAAAGTAGGTGGCTCAAATAACAATCTTAGGGACCCTCGAGTCTCGAAAGCCTTTTGGATGCGTTTGTTACGGTGTTCACTTCTTTCTTTTCTTCCCCTGTTTCTCCGTTGTTATGTTTCTTCTTTTTCTTTCGTAATCCTTTAGCTCTCATTTATATTCTACAGGGTGGATCAGATCCGCCACATCCAAACCGTTTTCATTGAGGAGAAGATGATGGAGCCCCTGGTGGGGGACTTGGTCTACGGCGAAGGCGGTGCAGTGCGCAGCTTGCGGCGAGGGGAAGAGCGAGACACGCCCATGTGGGCGGTTCTGATGCCGGTGCCTGGGTATGACGTCCAGATGCCGGAGACCCAGCTGTAACTCTATGGCTATTTGGGTGTGGGTCAAGATAAAGCAGCTGGGGTTACGCAGGTTTTTGTCTACCTTTCCAATTGCAGGGGTTCCATTTTGCACCTATTTTTGAGCCACACCTATTTGGCGACGGATCTTTGGACTTTAGCTTTACAACGAAAGTTGAGCTTTTTGCAGAGAGGTCAGCAGCAACCAAGGGAATCTTTTGGCCATAACTTCTATTGGCACCTTGATTTGTGTAAGCCGAAGCTGCGAGTGCCTCAAACACGGCGATGCAACCCATGTTTGTCACCCTGAACCATTGTGGGGCTCCGCTGCTTGAAGGCACTGCTTCTAGGCATGCAGTCACCGTACCGCTTCCAATCCCCAAAAGCGAAGCAATCTGTGGGCTTACACATTTGCACCCTTTCGGAGGCCGCTTGCGAGCAGTTGTTTCTTTTAAGGTGTCCACAAGTTGCCATTTCCATGGAAACAACCCGTAAATTGATCAACGTTTTGATGAGACATGTCCAGTCACCCCTCTTGGTTTCGAAAATCTTCAGGTCTTGCTCGCCCTCTCCTGGCCCTTTGACCAAAAGAACTCCCGAGCCACCGCTTCCGCGGTCTGCGGTCAGAGCTTCTAGGGCTACCTTCCCCATTCCTTCCAGGGAACCGAATCTTTCTAGAAACCTCCGGAATCCCAGGGAAACGGGTTGGTTTTTGAACAGAACGATGGTTAAGAATGGAAAAGGACTCCACCCCTAGAGAGCCGAGGAGAATCCCTGCCTCGCGCGGCTCTTCGCGCGCGCAGTCCAGCAGCTGAACCTGGAGGAGGTCTTTCGCCGCCCAACCAGCCGCGAGGAGCTCACGGCTTGCGAGTCCCATGCCCAACTATGTCCCCCCCCTCCCCCCTCCTCCCCCCCTCCCCGAAACCGTACAATGTTGACCCCGTATTCATGTTGATTATTACTTGCCCCTATATGTCCAACAATGTCCACAGCACATTTATAGTACATTTATGCCAACATCAATCCAACACATCTTGGCAGCTAGAGTTCATGTAAGTTTGTTGAATCCCAGATGTGAGATATTACCGTTTGGGGCTTGCCCGATTTTTCGTTCATGTTTCGACCTCAAACCATGCGGGTACTCGGGCGGTCCTTCCGCCGGAAACTTCTGCACAGTGAGCCCTCAAAAGAGGCACCCACCCTAAACAAGTTGGGCGGATTTGTGTTCTGTTTTGTTTTTGCTGGCCCTGCCATCATTTGTCTTTGCCCCGAGGCTCAAAGACCCGCGGTTCTTGGTGTCTATTCTTTTGTGCTTTTCAAAATTTGCTGGCCCTGTCGTCGTTTCCAAGCTCGAGCCATCAAAAGCTCGAGGCTTTGTTTTTTTTTTTTTTTTTTTTTTTTTTTTTTTTTTTTCGGCGTTTCAGTTTGCAAAGTGACCCCCGCCCCCCCAACGGCTGGGAAACAAAAAGCCGAGCTTAAACCAAAGCTTTGGAGGGAAGGTTCTAGCTTTCAGACATGAGACTTTGTGGAAATGAGCCCCCCCCCTCCGGCCAAATGCGCTGGGGCTTTGGGGGGTGTTTTGATGAGCAGTCCCTCCATCAGCACAGGGATTTGTGAGTGAACTGCTCGAGCTTTTTTCGATGCGCTTTGATCAGGAGATTTGGATGGAAGGCCACTACCGCCCGGCCTTGTGCCGAGCCACCAATGTGAGCTGCTCGGAAGCTTCTCCGAGCTGCACCTTCTTTTTTCTTCTCCTTTTCGAGCGCAGGATCGATCTCATTTCCGGTTTACATTCGAAGTTGCGCCGTAGATGCTGGAACCTCACCTGCTGGAGGGATCACAATTGATCGCAAGAGGAGGTTTTGCTCAACTCTGTCCGTTGTCGTCAGGTTCTCAGCTCCTGCCCTCCGCGCCCTCGCCCTTGGTCCCCACCGAGCTCCTCAGTCAGATTTGTTCAGTCGTCTGGGGTTTGCTTGGATCTCGTATTCTATGCCAGACCCCAGCTTCCCTTTTCGTATTTTCTTGGGGGGTAGTTGAAAAATGGTTCCTTGGTTTTTCCTATCCACTGGATCCAGGGGAGAACCTCTACCCAGGCTCCATGCAGTCGAAGCCGCGGCCGCGGCCAGTGAAGGCGACGCGCTGGTGCTGGAGTTCCGGCTGCCGCGGTCCAGCTATGCCACGATGGCCATCCGCGAGCTGATGAAACCCCGCGGCGAGAAAAACCCGTCTACGGCGGCGCGCGGTCTTTAAGGGACTTGGGTGAGAATGACTTGGGCGTTTTGTGTCCGCAGGTTCCGGGGAAAATGACTAGGTTTTTTTTGGGCGCAAGGGTGGGGTGGATGGGCTCAAGCTTTTGGGAACCTCAGAAAGAGGGGAATGCAAGTTTTGGCCCAGCTGAGGATTCACAAAGGCACCCTCCCACACGGTCAGCCCAGGCTTTCTTTCCTTGCAAGACTGGGGCACTTTCTGAGCACACCACTTCCGTTTGACTGCATTCAGCACAAGGACTCGTGGGTCTGTTATCTCCGGCAGCTTGAGGGTTGCCTTGCGTATGTCTTATGGGGAATGCCCGCCCTGCTCGGGCGTCCGCTGTAAGGCCAACATCTTGCTGGACAGACACGGCACCGCCAAGATGGCAGACTTCGGTGCGAAGCCCAGGCAGAACACAGCCTTCCAAGCAGCGTTGGGCGTTCGGTGACGCAACTCCCCAATTCTGGCGGAGTCAGTCCGTTTAACCCGCAAAAAGAGAATTGAGCTTTGCGGGGGTAGCCACATTTTGAAGCATCCCGCGTTGGTGAATTGCTTGGGAGAATGCGCACTTGTGCAACGGGATGTCCGCAGGATGGTTTGGAATTGTAAATGTCTTGGTGCATTTTGCTGGGTTAGGACTTTACCCTTTTGCCAACTAATGGGTATTCCATTGAACCGCTAAAAGTTAAACCATTCGCAGGGGAGCAAATTGCCAGGAGCTGCTGCATTTCCGCGTAAAATTCCCGTGCCATTCCTTTGTCGCTTTTGTCCGGTGCCAGCCTAGGGGCACCAAAGCACACATCTTGGAATCTCTCTTTGCGGCTGGAGGGTGCTTCGGCCTTTGGCAAGTGGTGTGGCAAAAGGAGGGGCCCATCTCGGGTGTCGCTTTTTGAGGGACCCCCTTTGTGGTGGGTGTTAATTAAAAGAAAGCCAAATGGAACACCGCCATTCCCTGGGACGCTCATGTTTCTTGGACGCAGCTGACCCTTCTGCACATTGCCGCCATGTACCGCGCGGGCGTTAGGAAATCCCCAGTTTCATGTGAGATATGCGATGGGGTAAATTCAGCGTGGCATTGGGGTGAGTGTCACGGGTGTCTTCGTCTTTGCTCCGGCAACACATCGCCTCAAAGGAAAAAGTGGCTTGCAATCAATGGGATCCGGCCAAGACATGCGGCTCCCAATCCATAGCTCCCTTCTGAAGAACAATTCAGGGGCCCAGCACTTGTTCACCGTACGGTGGCGCAAAAACTGGTGGACCTTCTTCTACCGCTGTTGGTAGAGGACTTCTCTAGCAAGCCAAGCATTTCCGAGGGCTCCAATGGTAGGAATAGGTGCCGCCCGCCGCCCGCTGGCTTTTTTTGTGGCGCTGCCCCGATCGAGATCAGCCCCGGCTCCCCGAGTCTGAAATCGCCATGAGCTGCCGGGCCGCGCTGGCGCTGGCGCTGGTGGCAACAGTGGCGGCCAGCGGCTGGAAGGATTGCGAAGACGACTGGGTCGGCTGCTGCCGACAGGATGCAAAGCCCCTTGTACAGGCAGTCGTTGAGACTAGTTTCTTTCCACCCTCTAAGAAAGGCAGGGGGCGCGGCTTCCGGTTGTAATTTCTGCCTTTGGTGGTTTGCGTTCACTTGCCTGCTGCTAGGGCCCAAGGTAGCCAGGCAGACATTTGTTTCGGTGGGGTTGACGGCCGCAATGCCAAGCAAAGTGTGGAAGTGCCGCACCGGAACTGAAAATGTTGGATGGGAGCAGATCAGGGCGCGACTCTTCCCTGGCGAGGAGAAAAAAAAGCAGCTTGGTTTGGTTGCCCTTGGCACTTAGATTTAAGAGGCCTCCAGAGATTCATGTCCACCTTTCTTTCCCTTACATCGTGGACCGGCCTGGCCTGGACCGTTTCCCCAGAATTGAGTCACCAGCTGGTCCTAGGTTCAGCGGCGTCAAGCCGCTGGTGCAGTTTACCAATGTGACGGAGCTGAATTCCCGCGGTGAGGTTGACGCTGACGACTCAAGCTAGTAAGCGTTTGACTTTTGATTGGCGGTGTTTTGCTATGCTTTGCTGCTAATTGGGTCATTTGTGCTGCATCCATTGCCCCTTTGGCCGGTGAGGATGTGGTCCACATCAACGACCCGTTTTTCACCATCGAGGTGCAGGGGCGGTCATTGGCCACAGAAACCATCTCCAACATTTCCGTGCAAATCCGCGACCCGGAGCAACATCCATTAGTTTTTCCTAAGTTAACAAGCCTTTGTTTGGTTGTTTTTTCCAGCTGCCTGTTGTTGCTGTTGTTGTTGATCTTTTTTGGGTTGCCTGATTTGGTTGCGTTCTTTTGGTTGCCTTGTTGGTTGGCTCACTGCCTGGCTGGCTGGTCGGTTGGTTGGTTGCTCGCTTGTGAAGGGGAAAACGGTGCACATGATTTGGAGCCCGGGTTTGGAAATGGTCGGGGTGGCGGGTGGCAACGTGCAGAAGCTGCTCAATCATTCCGACGGGCCAAGGTGGATACTGGTCGCTTTCGGAGAAGGGTCCTTGGCTTCGGTATGTGAACGTGCACAAGGACCTTTGCAGTGATAAGGACATCGTAGTGCGAGAAGGCTTTTGCCCAATGACGCCGGGTGCACAGATTGACAAGAAAGTGAAGCATCTTGGCTGAGCTTAGCAGAGTTTCCATCAAGGATTCTTTGGTAGAGCCAAGTACTCCTAGAACATGCATGCAGATTTGGGGTTCTTGATGCTTTCAACGTGAAGGCACGGGAAGCTGAACAGATTCACCCCCGGGGGCTTGTACAAGTCCATTGAGACGTGGTGGGCCGGCAGCACTCCCATCGCTTGCGTGGACACCGGGATTTGGCACCTGGTGCACGAGAACCTGGTGGTGTGAGCGCGTGCGGGCCGAGGTTTTTGCCGGGGTGGGTGATTCCAACAAGCTAGACTCTCTCAAGCGCTGTGAGCGATGCGAGCGGTCTGCGCTTTAGCAGGGCCGGTAAACCCACGCTTAAGAGGATTAGAGTGCGCCAAGTTTGCATCAGGCGCATCGGCACGCTTTGTTTCTCGCTGGGGAGCGGCAAGTGGCGGAGAGCGGCTTTGCTTGGAAGCCGGCGAAAAAGCGCGCAATCCGCGCGCATTCGATCAGGTTTGGCCGGAGTTGACCCGCTCGTGCCTAGCGAATCCATCAATTGACTTGGGCCCTTCGCATCCTCGTGATTGAACCGTTTGCCCCGGCGCTTGAGCTGACGGTCCTACCTTCAGTGTTGCCACTCAAGGTGCGTCTCAGGCAAGTTCTTCTCACCCGAACTGCTTGGCAAACATCTAGCACTCAAATGGTGGAGTGCTAGTTGTTTTGCTGTTTGAAAGTCCAGGGCGACAAATCTGTGGTCTTTTTTTGTGCCAACCGAGCTATTGCCCTTTCGATTCACGTTTCGCTGCCATGCTCCCTGTTGATCAATGTGAGAGGCTTCAGGGAGGGCTGAATCTCGTCCAAACCCTCAACGCGGGCATCGCCCTGCTGGCCACTCTCAGTTCTCCAAAAGCCGACCTTTGAATTGTCCGGCGTCCGGTTGTTGATCCCATTTTCGCCATGACCCCAGCAAGTTATGTAGCCTGATTCTATCGGCAGGTGAATTCATTCAAGCCTCAGTCGTTCAGGGCGGCCAACCGGTGCGGGAAAAAGTTGTTTGGTGCAGATCGGCATGTTGCACCCAGCGCCCTTTGAGATTCCCAAAACACGGCCAGAAAAAAGTATCCCACCAGCTCCCAAGTGGCCTCCAAATCGCCTGTACCCCTCCAGACTTGGAGTCAGAAACCAATGGCCCCGAAGCCATGTGTTGACCGAGCCCAGTCACAGCCTAGGTCTTGCCTGCACGGGCCGCCACGGCGCGCAGAACGTCACAGCAGAACGCCCAAGACCAGATCTTCTGCAGCGGGTTTGTTTGGGGGTCACCGATTTTCCCAACTGAAGATGAAGAAGCCGAAAAGGGTCGAAAAGGGTCAGGTTTCGCTTTTTGGCCACAACCGAGAGCCTCAAGCATGTCAATTCAAGGGACAGCTGCCACACGATCATCTGATGGCTGCACCGGTCAGACAGGACAAATGAGGCGCCTCGCGATGCGTGTTGACCCTGGCTTCAGGTGAAGAGTGTGGGAGGGACGCCCGGCTACAAGTGCCTGGCGCTGAAGCTCGCCGCTTCTACCATCTAAGTAATTGTCTAGGTTTCCCAGCTAGGTGCCCTTTTGCCGTTTCTTTTTGGGTTGGAGGGTTCCCCTACTAAAATAGACCACAGAAAGAAGGGTACCCTTATTCTAATTGTATTCTTGGCAGGTTGTGTCCCTGCAGGAAAAAACATGTCGAGGGAGCAGTCCAAAACATGTCCTTCCGCTAACGGCGTCGCCAAAGAACCGGCTCGCAAAATCTGCACTGGTCTTCAATGGTGTGAGCTTGCTTGGCTCGAGTTCGAAAGAGCAGTGGGATTTCTTATCAAAAGGCTGGCCTGGGGCCGTTACCGGCTTTACCGGCTTTCCGGCCGGCCGGCTGGCGAGGCCCCATCTACGAGCGGTCTGGGCTGTGCACCGAAGGCTCCGAGGCGGGCCACGGGAAGCATCAGCTTGCCTTGTTGGTTGTTTGGCGGGTGGGTGGGTGGCTGGGTGGGTGGCTGGCTGGCTGGCTGGCTGGCTGGCTGGGTGGGTGGGTGGCTGGGTGGGTGGGTGGCTGGGTGGGTGGGTGGGCTGGTCGACCTGGAAGGCGGGCCCTTTGTTTGAGAGGGCCTTGCATGTCACGAAAGCTAGCTTTAGCTAGCTGAAGTTTCTCCTTGCGTAAGCAAGGTAAGGGGCTCAAATGCCGAAAGATTGATTTTTTCAATTATTTGAGCCGAAAAGATTGAAAAATATCAATTATTTAGACCCCCCCCCCCTCCCCCCCCCCCGGGTCTCAGGCTCGATTCCTCCCTGGTCCATCCCCCCCCCCCCGGGCAGTGGCTCAGTGTTCAGCAGTCTCGGTTTGCCCGTTTTGGACTTGGTGCTACGAACTTTTACATGTTCCACCGATTCAGCTTGTTCATTTGAGACCTCAGTCTTCTCGGTAAACCACCTCGCAAGAATCTTTGCACACGCTGCATGCAGAACCCAGAGGTGCTTTAAGACAGCTTCTGACGCCTCTCGTTGCTTTCATTTTTCAAGGTTTGCCACGCCACCATGTGCGTTTGTCGCATCCTACGAATCTTGCCGGGCCTCTCGTTGTACACAAGCTACCTATAAGCTACCTATGAATCCACTCTGTCACCGACCCATCTCATGCAACAACTGCTAGCTTTCGTTCACCCGCTCCTCAAGTGATTCGTGGTGGCCTCTAAGTTTAAGGTGTTCATGTGTGGATGGGATTGTGGCGGTCATGCCAGCCATGATGTAAGAGTATTGCTGACTCGAGTGAGTTGTTGGCCAGGGTCGTGCGAGGGTTGTCCAACATGTTGGCTCGTAGGTGCAAAGCCAGCGGCACTTGTAAGGACAACATTTGATACAGCACCCTGCTTGGGAAGGTTCAAGCTTTACGGAGTATCAACACCAGTCAGAAGCCCACAATTTGATACCCTGCTCGGTATGTGTGTGTGTGGTTCGACATGCTTGTTCGGCATCACAGTCATCAGTCAGGTGGCATGTTGAGTTGACGGATGGGTTCATGTTCCAAAGTAGCGCTTTCGGGCATCATGGATGTCAAAGTTGCTATCCACCACACGTTTGTTCCAATGTAGCCGGCCCCGGTATCAAAGCACGAGGTAGTGCAGTTTTCACTTGCTACTTGGTGGGCTTGTGCTTGCCAGTGGTAAAGTCACAGCTTGCTCCGTTGCTTGTAGATGATTGTAAGTGTTTCGGGGCAGCACAGGTTGCAAGTTGAAATCGTGCTTTGCTTTGTGCAGTGGTGCTGCAGTAGCCCTGCAGCTTTAGGGGGAGCGCTGGGAAGATGCGTGCAAGGCCCTGGCATCTGTTCAGTTTCCGGAACGATGCAGCAGTTTGAACAACCTTCGTGCGAATTCGCGCGTGGAGAGGGTATTTTGGACGTGTGCAAGTGGAGAGCATATTTTGGACGATGCGCTTGCAGGTGTACTCATTTGGTATGGTGATGCTTGAGGTCATCACGGGCGGGCGGCTCAGCAAGCCGCGGATGCGTTGGCAGGCGTCTAGGGGGCTAGGGGAACGCTCTCAAAAAGGAGAAGCGGTGCATTCATTTTCAGGGAAACCCATGCGAGAGGCGTTTCTGGCAGGACTTTTCGGCTGCAATCTCCGTTGCCTCGCCTCAGGCCTGTCGCCCTCCTCCACTGACCCAAAGGTACCAGGAGGCCGCCGGCTGGTTTGCAAAGATCGCCGGCTGGTTGGTGTGCGGGATTGGCTGGCCAATGAATGCAGCACATGTCGTGCTGTGGATGACTGTTCTAACGCTTGATTCCGCATTCTTTGCAACCATCGCTCTTTTCAAAAACCGGCCGTTTCCCTGGGTTTCCGGGGGTTTTCTAGAAAGAAGGATCCCTGGAAAGAATGGGGAAGGTAGCACTAGAACTGTGTTTGCCCTTCGGCTTGCAGTCTAGTTGAGTTGATTGACGCTGATACCAGCGCGGACTGCATGAGTCGTGCAGGGCCATGCAGGGCTGAAGATCGGAAGCTCAAACCACGAGCAGACAAAACAAGCAAGTCTTTGCTGCATGTTGCTTGGATGTTGGGACTTTATTTGTTTGCCAACTAATGGGTTGTCAATTAAACCACTAACAGTTAAACTTTTAGCAGGGGAGCAGAAAGCAACTGAGAAGTATATATGCAATCCTTGCGTTTAGTTCTTGGAACATGTTGCCAATTGGACCACAAGATGAAGTGCAGGCACGCGCTGCCCCGTTGAAGTAATGGTTCCGGGTTCAGCTTTCACGGTGGCAGCTGACTGGATGATTTTCTGGCAGGACTAACATTTCCCATCGCCGTTGCCTCAGTGAACCTAGTGTGGAAAGGTAAGCTCTCCAAAGTTTTTTTGAGCACACACATGGCCCCCCCGTGACATTCAGAGCACACGGCGGTCAAAAATGGGGGAGCCCCGCATGGAACATTGTGCCCGGAAACGATGGAGGCCGATGAAGCTTTGTGCAATGAGTCCGCCGAATGGTTTGCCCAGAAACGTTGGAAGTTGTTCGACGTGTCGCGGCCTGCTGGGCTCCATGGCAACGCGGAAAACTTGATGAACACCGGTCCGGTCTGCGACCCAAAACGAGTCATGGGCAATGGCTTTCCAACGGCTTCCCAACTGCGCAGCCGTGCAAAGCGACCCGCCCGCAGGTGATCATAAACTCGTATCTTTCCCAATGCGCAGCGATATATTTATGATGTTGTGCCCCCTACAAATGCGCTGTAGATGTGCCACCCTTGCAAACACGTCCCAAGTGGGTGCTCAAAAAGCCTACTGAGGTCAGACGAAGTAATGCCTGAAACCGTGAGGGGTAAGGCTTTTAGGGCAGTGGGCCCCACAAGCATCTAAAATGGCGCGCAATTTCTTCTACGATTGGTCATTCTGACTGCGCGACAGGCCAGCAGCAAGCTAACAGCAAACCAACCGGAAAGGTTCGGGTTTTGTCCAGTTGCCGCGGTCCTGAAAAACCAACCTTGCCATCCATCCCCAGTTCGAACTCTTTGGTGCATGTTGCCAAGGGATGTTCGGACTTTCACCTTTTGCCACCTGGGTTTTCCGTATTAAACCACTAAAAGTTATTCACTGTTCGCGGCGCAGTCGCAAGCCTCGGAACGCCTTCCCAGTCCCCCAGCCCCTCGGTTAAGGCAGAGCGCGTGGCGCCGAACCTTCCCGGGGCGCTGCAGCGCATGAGGCGTCGGTCGGCCGGTCGGCCGCGCGCGCCTCATGCGCTAGGGATTGACTAGGCTTCGTGGGGCGGACAAGCGGTGCAGCGCCTTTTTTTAAAAAAAAATCCAACTGTGCGTTGGTTTCCATTTGTGTTACTTCTGCTACGCCTTCTGGTATGGTCGGACGCTGAGGAGTTGAATGTGGTTGCCGCCATTCCACGCTCAAGTATAGTCAAGCCTGCTGATTGGGCGGACGACTGGGTAGCCCAGAAACTTAGCGCCTCAACTATCCTCACTGAGAGTCAAAATGCACTAGAGTCAATCAAAATGCTTTCCATTGTTGAAGGTGTACTGGTCTTCTGCATTCGCCCGGAAGCGTTCCGTGCAGCCGGCCCGCTGCGTTTCGGTGACCATCTCAGTTCGCAAGCTCCCAAGGAACTCCTCTTGAGAAGGTACCCCTTGGCAAAGGATCAGATACACAGAGGGACTCTTCATAGCCATGAAGCCAAGGGCTTTCTTGCGTTTTTTTTTGGGGGGGGTCCCTGTTAAACACGGGCTGCTGTTGGGGTCATAAGTGCCCGTGCTGTTTGGGTCGCACCGCGAATTTTTCCCGCCGCAGAACTGGAGATGCTGTGGCAGATTGGACGTCGCCTCAGCATGCCTCGTGCCTGTGAACCTCAGGGTGTTTTTAGGCCGCATGAGGTGTGCCCATACACATACTCACTCCACGCACATGTATATACATATAGATCGATACTTTAGAGCCTCCGGCTCAGTCCGCCGACATTGTCCTCTCCCTTTTCTCCTTCTTCCTCTCTCCCTTGTCTCCCTGGTGTGTTCTGTCGTCCTCTCTCCCTCCCTCCGCTCCCCATCCTCCCCATCCCCCCAAGCCACTCTCTCCCCAATCTCCCTCTCTCGTATGTATGTATGCATGTATGTATGTATGTATGTATGTATGTATGTATGTAATGTAATGTATGTATGTATGTATGTATGTATATATATATATGTATGTATGTATGTAATGTATGTATGTATGTATGTATGTATGTATGTATGTATGTATGTATGTATGTATGTATGTATGTATGTATGTAATGTATGTATGTATGTATGTATGTATGTATGTATGTATGTATGTATGTATGTATGTATGTATGTATGTAATGTATGTATGTATGTATGTATGTATGTATGTATGTATGTATGTATGTATGTATGTATGTATGTATGTATGTATGTATGTATGTATGTAATGTATGTATGTAATGTATGTATGTATGTATGTATGTATGTATGTATGTATGTATGTATGTATGTATGTATGTATGTATGTATGTATGTATGTATGTATGTATGTATGTATGTATGTATGTATGTATGTATGTATGTAATGTATGTATGTATGTATGTATGTATGTATGTATGTATGTATGTATGTATGTATGTATGTATGTATGTATGTATGTATGTATGTATGTATGTATGTATGTATGTATGTATGTATGTATGTATGTATGTATGTATGTATGTATGTATGTATGTATGTATGTATGTATGTATGTATGTATGTATGTATGTATGTATGTATGTATGTAATGTATGTATGTATGTATGTATGTATGTATGTATGTATGTATGTATGTATGTATGTATGTATGTATGTATGTATGTATGTATGTATGTATGTATGTATGTAATGTATGTATGTATGTATGTATGTATGTATGTATGTATGTATGTATGTATGTATGTATGTATGTATGTATGTATGTATGTATGTATGTATGTATGTTATGTATGTATGTATGTATGTATGTATGTATGTTATGTAATGTAATGTAATGTAATGTATGTATGTATGTATGTATGTATGTATGTATGTATGTATGTATGTATGTATGTATGTATGTATGTATTTTATGTATGTATGTATGTATGTATGTATGTATGTATGTATGTATGTATGTATGTATGTATGTATGTATGTAATGTATGTATGTATGTAATGTATGTATGTATGTAATGTAATGTAATGTAATGTAATGTAATGTAATGTAATGTAATGTAATGTATGTATGTAATGTTGTATGTATGTATGTATGTATGTAATGTATGTATGTATGTATGTATGTATGTATGTATGTATGTATGTATGTATGTATGTATGTATGATATGTATGTATGTATGTATGTATGTATGTATGTATGTATGTATGTATGTATGTATGTATGTATGTATGTATGTATGTATGTGATGTATGTATGTATGTATGTATGTATGTATGTAATGTAAGTAATGTAAGTAATGTATGTATGTATGTATGTATGTATGTATG